CGGCCCTTCCAGAAGGTTGTGCCTGGAGTTCGCTTGCCTGGGCCGGCGCTGGGCTTCGGTCCCAGGAACCTCCTTCCGGACTTTGGATCCATTTGCAACGCCGGAGGCCGGGGAAGACTCGGCCGCTTAGCTCAATTGGGAGGGGAGGGGAGGTCCGGAATTTTCCATGTTGTCTGTCCCGCCGCCTTTCAGAGCTGGGCCTGCGGGTTTTATTTATAATCGATGGCTGAACGCGGGCAGCCGTTTCCACGCAGGATCAAGAGCCGTGCCTGGAAGACACGCCGGAGGTGGCCTCAGCCTAGTGCGCCCTGGTGTGACCACCTGGATGTGCGTGATCGCCTGGATGCGGGTGATCACCTGGATGTGGAGGACCAACTGGGATGTTGGGTGATCGCCTGGATGTGGGGGACCACCTGGACGTGCATGATCACCTGGATGTGCGTGATCGCCTGGGATGTGGGTGATCGCCTGGATGCAGGTTACCACCTGGAATGTGGGTGATCGCCTGGATGGAGGTTACCACCTGGAATGGGTGATCACCTGGACGTGCGTGATCGCCTGGGATGTGCGTGCGCAGAGAGGAGGCTGTCAAGTCAAGCAGCTTGATGGGGCGAGGAAAGCAGCATTTACAGTTAATGTCAAGTCCGTGTGCGTGTGAAAATATTCAACTTGCCCTCCAGAGATTTCACCAGTGATGTTCAACAATGGAGTTTAAAATAGGCACATTTTAAATGTCCAGAGTTTTCTGTACATTCTTATGTTCACGGAGTTCATGTCCAAAGCCATGGCCATCATGATGTTCATTAACAGTTGTCTACCTAAAAGGATTCACGTTCCTCCACAGCCGCTCACCGTGTACTAGGCTTTCACATGCCTTCATCTCATGTCAGCCTCAGAGGAAACCTTGGAGGAAAGTCATGATGGTCCACTGTGTACAGCCCTGAAGAATCCAAGGCTCCCTTGAATAACTTGACTGATTGGGTGATACTTAGAAAATTGAAAATGACCTTGACCTTGGACCTAGCAGCTTCACTTCTAGGAATTTATCCTGCTGCTGCCAGGCGTGCACAAGTGAGCAAAGCTATTCAGTAAAGCGTTCTGTGACAACCCCAAACAGCAAGTACCCTTTGTGTTGGTTAGTAGGACTGTTTCACTACACATGCCATATCCATACAAAGGAAATTCTAGGAAGCCCACAAGAAAGTGGTAATGTTTTAAGAGGTACTAATAAAGCTAAAAAGAACCTTATGTATAGCACAACCTATTTGTGCAAAAAATAGAAAATACGTTGTATATGCCTAGAAATTTTCTGAAGGTTCATCAGA